TCTCGAACTTAAGTTGATAACGCGGTCTTTAAGACTTAGTGAACTATCTGAGTTCGCTGTTTCCTTGTGATTGTCCGATGATAGGTAGGGTGGTCTCCTTACCCTTGTAACTCGTGGGTTATTGGAACGAGAAGATATGAAGAGTGTAATTGACACTTAAGGTTAGTTATAAATCGTCTGCTTTGTCATATGATGTATTATTTATTAATCATTACCTTCATTAGGATTGGACACGACGGTTTTCTTGCTAATTTCTTTTCGCTTCGTATGATCAGTTTCACTGCTGCGTCTGCTCTCATTGCTGAACGCTTTCCTTGGATTGTAAACGTATGCTATTACAATATTAGTAGCTTTGCTCTCTAAAGGTTTTGATTGGCAGTCCGTCATGCTATAACATTGCACAGTGTAACAGCGACCAGTCATTATAACGGCGATATCACACAGTTGGTCTCGACAACACAGCCTCGCACAAGCTGAAATGCCCTTTAATTTTCCATGTGATTTGAATTTCCCAGCATCCATACCTGAGTGTAAGGTGGTATTGTTTGTGATTCGTCTAATGTGGCATTTATCATCGTTAAGACGCTTTTTCCTTTCTTGTAAAATGTTTCGTTTCGCCGACAAGATCCGCTTTAATTGATGAGCACCCTGTTTTCTATATTTGCCTCCTTTGATGTTTGATTTATTTCCATTCATCCCTTCCTCAAAAGAAAATTGAAGCTTTTTTAATTTGAGATTTGAAGGATGTATCGATCCCAGTCGAGCTCTTCCCTCTAGGAATCTGTCCACTCCTAAGTAATGCAATGGAGATATGAGAATTACATTGGTCTTTCTCTGGGACAGCTTGTTGCCTTCGTTGAAGAAACTCTTCTTTTAGGGCGGGGGGAGGGATAAGGTGATTCCAAAGATTAAATGGAGGTTCATCTTGGTGCTTAATCATTGGAAAAAAATTATATATTCATATATAGTCCACATATTTTACGTTTTTGTGTGGATGTGGAATTTGGCATTAAGCTTAACATCAAGCATCTATTTTCCCTTCAACTTCAAACCCATTGACGGAGCACCGCTTTTCAAGGGACACTCTGTAATGCGGAGCCGGGATCATTATGAATATATAATATTATGAACAAGTCAATATTCCTTTCCATGCACTAACACGTATATTCAGCGCGATCTAAAATTACTTAGGAACGGCCCCTTAACAGAGCTTCTAAAGCTTGTTTAGTTTTGACCATTAAGTAACTGATAACCCTTTTCTAAAATTTCATTGAGATAAAATATCAGTCTGTTTTAATGAAGTGAAGGCAACCAGTACCTAAAGAGCTATTGAGTGGTGTGGCTGGTACCCGCTCATGTGGACCAAGCACTTAAATATTATAATTCATAAGAATTCACTTAAAAAATGACATTGCCATTGACATGATCGACCGTCGATCACAGAAAAATTAAGCAGTTCTTTGAAAACTGGCAGTTTTAGTAAAGAAGACTCATTTTATACCTAACAGGGCGAACGAGGCAAACTGCGATGAACCTGCTACGGTCGTTTTCAAAATCATTTCGACAGATCATAATTTAAACAGGAACTTTTAATACCCTCAACAGAATTACAAGACAAGAACTTTGCCAATTTTCCAAACAAAATTCTGGACTTATAATGCTGTACTTTGCCTTTCCACAGGTTAGTTGAGAGTAAGCGCACTGATACCCTATATCAGTTTAATCTTTTTTCATTTTAAAATGGTTCCTTAAATACTGATCTGTCACAAATACGTACTGATCACAGGTCACAGATCTCAACACTTACCTGCAAAAATATCTTTTAACAACACGGTCTGATATGACCTCTGTCCTTCCCGGGCTTTTTCAAAATGGCAAACGTTTTCCGTTGGACAAAACACGCCATAACAGAAAGTGCCGTCGAACAAGGCAACATCGCATTTGGAACTCCTGCAGCAGTGCGATACGCATGTGGAAAGGTTCTTAAAATGTCCGAGCTGTCGCCTTATTATTGAAGCATTCTGAGGTCTCGAAAGTACAGCATCGTCGAACGTGGCTACTGGAAGACACTGTTTCAGCTCGCGTGTGGAATGCGAACATCCAACAAACCCTTAGTGCAAATATATTCATCTATGGATTAATCCGAGAGCTTCATTCAAGTAATGAATTTCACCGCTAATTTGGTATCAACTTACCCATGTAAAATAGAACGCCGATGTGGAAGAAGGAAATCTTATTAGGACCATAATGGAATCTAATTCGTTCGTTAAACATTCTTTCACTTCAAGTTGGAAGGCTTAATTCACAGGAAGCTAAACTAAGTCAGTCGCTAACTATCAGGGCGTGGAAAACTGTCTTGGTTTGTGTTTCCGCAAGAACAAGCATAATTAAAACATCATATAAGCACCGGTGTCTGGGTGATGCTTGGCAAGTCAACCAGGATATTTTTTAAAAATTGTACAGCCATGATGGTTTGACTGAGCATTTGTGAAACAAACATTCATGTGAACCTTACAAGCGATTTTATGGAGGGATATTTAGACAATGTTAGGCTTAATACACAGATTTATAGTCAGTAACACAATGCCGTTTTTCCTTGCTCGTTCGAACCCTATCGAAACCTATCGAATCCTATCGAACAAGGCCTTACTTCAGTTAGATGGTTTATAAAAATCTACGTATCGTGATCAGAATAAGTCTGAATAACAATTTGTATAAATTAGCTGACGGGTTAACTTGTAGTCATTTATTTTTTTAAGGATGCAGGCGTCACCATGTCAGCCTCTTCAAAAATATGTTACAACGAATTATGGGAAAAAAAGCAACGGACTGTCAAAGTTTGATAGCTAAGGGTCACTAACACAACCTATTCATCAGTAAAAATTCTTGTTTAAAAAATGCTTTGACAATAAACTTTTGGTACCTAAATTGTATCCAGGTACCGCGCCACCAAAAACAGCCAATCAACATGTACATTTACTTAACCTTGTGACCTGCAACAGCGGTGTTACGCGTGCCAGATATCAATATTATCGCATGAATAGCTGGCTGGGTAAAGTGTCCATCTCTAGCGCTTGATTAAGAGCGTGAAACATTTTTCAAACAGATAAAGAATATGACCATCTTGAAGCCTACACTTGCGTTTCTTGCTTTTTTTCATGGTAAGGTTGATGTTGTCATATTCAGTGTTTTAGCTTTGCTCCCCTTATTTTCTGATTTGGTTCTACATGTATTTTTCGCGTAGTTGTTTTCGTGGTTGACTGCAACTCTGTTCCTAAACACAAGTGTTCAACGCCTACCGAATCAGAAAAACAACAAACTGATGATTCACTCAAACCTGATCATTTTAGACATCTTGGTAAAGTTCAAGACATGAAGGAATGTGTCGCAAAATGCTGCGACGTCGAACATTGCGATCTGGCTATGATGTCGTACGGCGGACAGAACTGCTATGGTGTGGCATGTTTCAGCGAGAACCTTTGCCAAATGTTGCCTTCCTACCCGACCAGAATTAGTTTCGACGTCGCACATGTTTCTAGATAATCGATCCGGGAAAATTCATGAAGAGCGTTCTGCCCACTTAGCGGTTTATTTTAAAGACTTCACGGTCACGAACAAACGTTTCAAGCGAAGATTTTTTCTGGTTTTTCGTCAACTCTGGGAGAAAATTTATGAGGGGTACTGACCCCTAAAATATCCAGAGCTCAAAGCGTTGGAATGTGGTAAACTTCACAAAAAAAGGAAAACGGTGGTAATTTTTGCATCATGAAGGAACATTATCCTGGTAATTGAACAAATCATAGCTTCGATGTATGTTATCAGTTGAATTCATTTGGAGACTGCTTATCATAAATGGCAACATGATAATCATTTCGGAAGCGAAAAAGTCGTATTTGGCAACTCCTTAAACTTCAAATGAAAATTATCACAATCTCTTTTCACGAAGGACCGGCGAACAAATCGGAGCGTATAAAATCACCGCCCTATATTCAGTCACTACAAAGGAATAAACCAAACCGCACGTGCGTAACCATTAATTAATCAAAACCGTCATTGTTAAAGAATTTCAAAACATCTCAGGGAAATCAACCAATTCCAAGATTTTAAAAAATATATGAAAAGACAATAGAGCGAACAAAGGAATGACTGACAAGATGTGATTCAAATGAGAAGGAAACTGTTTTCACCATAAAAATACTTTCTTCATAAATCTTCTTTTATACTCGTCTTTCTGCTTTTCAAAAAAAATTGTCTGCGCCAAAATCTGTAGATGACAAGTTGTTTTTCTGAAGTAAAACCGTTAGTCACAGGCCACCGGCTTGACAATCAACAAAACGCTGAAAAGTGTTGTGCCATGTAATTGCGGTGGTTTCTCACATTACCCAAGAGAGGATCATCTAAGACACCAAGAGAAAATGAGCGACAGAGACAAACAATCAAAGCGTCGGCTCAGAAATATCCATTTGTATCTGTTTCCCTGGACTTCTTCGTCGTAAACGAAGGCTCAACCATTTCCGTTCTAATTATTCCTCGTTGAAACTAATCAAAATGCTTTCTGCTATGAAATTGCTATCACATAGAACATCAGATCGACAAAGAGGTTATTGATTTGACCTTAAGCCTCCATCTGTGTCCTTCACTTTTTTTTCCCTGTCTGTGTTTTTAAAAGAATTGAATTCCCCTTAATTATAGGCCTGCATTACGTTGTTGCTGGAAGATTTACGTGGAAGAAAGACAAAACTCGACATGAGATGTTGGTGACAGTAAAATGTTCAGCATATGATCGGCTCTTCCTACGTCCTCCTGTGATCTCTAAAAATGAGAGTAATTAGGGGAAAAAAGGTCAAGGATACATGCTACTTCCGTAAGTTGGAAGGGGATCAAGAATATAAAAAAAGGTATGAGGAAGGATAAAGATACTTCGATACTCTATTAGGAAGCTTCGACATCTTGAAAGTATTACTCAAGCCACTATGTTTCACTTATATTTCTGTTATCTTAGCCTAAAAAAACACGCTTAAGTGATTATTACAATAGGCGACTCAGCGATTCAATAGAAAATCAATTTTTAATATCAATATATTTGTTTTACAAAACGCGGTTATTCTTGTGTATGCCTTAGCATATGTTGTATAGAAGAAGACAAATGTCACGTGTGGTGGATCAAGAAAAGAGAAATACAGAGTAATTGCTAACAGTCTTCAGTTTCGATTTTACAAATAAAACAAGTATTCAGAAATGTCTTCAAATAGTTAGACTTGTCGGGCGAATAAGTAAACATACCTTACGCGATAAAGTTAAAATTACGTCAGTGATCCTGATCACTCTAAAAGTGACAAATGAGCAATTTCTCCTAACAATGCCAAAATATTGACAAGTGGTGAGAAGAAAGAAACTTATCAAGGAAGGAGTATTGGACTACATATGTGCTAAAATTTACAGCATATTTAAAAAAGGACTTTTTGGAAGTGACGGGAATGGATTTGTTTTGCAACCTTTTCATTCCAGGAGTAACTTAAGATGAATTCCTCCTTAAAACATGAAATATATTCGAGAAAATAAGTTAGAGAAAAAGACAAGTATTAACCTAGGTGTGTTTATGATGAAAAACCAAATTATAGGAGATATACAGCATCAGTGCAAGAAGTTGATATGTCGGTCTTGGGAATGAAAAAGTTATTTCAATGAAAATACCACAAATGTGATTACAAGACTTGACTGCCATGGCGTTAGAGAGAAAAGAAAAACACTGATATAAAACAGTTTCATCAGCTTCAAAATCAAACCAAAACGTTTCCCTAGTAAATCTGTCGTAAGATTAGGCAAATGAGCTGGAGATATGATCGAGCGTATGCATTCATGAGTAATCTTTTAACTTTATAAATTCCTTATGGAAAACTTTTGTCCTGCAATATTTTTATACACAATAAAGTTATAAAAATTAACTTATGAAAAAGCAGAAATTAAATTAATAACTTCCAAAATTTGATTCTATTGTAATGGAGGTAATATTTTCAACAATTGGTGATAACACCACAGATTTCCGAAATTGTTTTATTGCTCAGAACATATAAAACCCTAGCGGAAACTGTCTCCTCTTTAAAAAGTTGTGCTGGCTTTCTGTTTCTGACTTTCTGTTTCGCATCATGTTGGATAAACTGCTCTGTGTGATCACGTTTCTCAGAACTAGAAATTTACCGTCAGCTTGATAGCTAACGTATTATTTCCTTCACGCACGCTGCGTTTCACGCAGAAAAACTCAGTGCTCAATGACTAACCCGGATGCATTCAACTTTGAACTCTCAGCACCAGGTCTCCTCGTCGTTATCCATTATTCCATAGATAAAATACGGACTTTGCCCTTTGTCAATAGCTTGCGCCACTTCAGCATTGATTTGATTGATTATTTCTCTCGTTCGACGATCATTTAACGTTCTTCGGTGCGACTCGTAAAACTCACTTAGTGGTATTAATGAGTGCCGAGGACTACTTTCCGCCGATTTAATAACATCCGGGAAATCGAGAACCATTAGTCTTTCGCGCGCTACTTGTGGCGCTGGGTCCTCCGCAGGATCCTGGGCACTACCTGACTGTGGTGACGTCACTTCTATTCTCACCATGGGTAGGGAGAGAGGGGAGGAAAGTCCAGTCGAAGAACGCGATGGACTCTCAAAGTTTTCTGTCTCCATCTCGTCCTCCAGTGCCTATCAAATGATAACAGAACGATAATGTCGGAATTTAAGATAAATGAGCATCATGATTTTCGTAAAATGCTAAACAACGGAGTGGAGACTGGGATATAAAAAGTCCATTGTTAGGCCAACCAGAATTTTGGCAAGAAGATCAGTCTGGTACCAGGAGTGCAAAAAGACCTGTCCCTTGAGAGTGCTAATAGTTACCAATCTTTATTTTTTTATTTGTTTCAGGATTTTAAATTCAATTCGCGGTATCAATAAGTTAAAATTCAAAACAAAAAATGCGAGCAGAATTAATGAAATATGGGGAGATGAGTAACTTTTGATTAAGAAAATGAGAGTTGTTCCCTGCCCCGCTCTTTCAGAGACATGTTAAGGTGTTAAGAGTTCAAATTATTTAGTTAAATACTTCCTAATTTAAATATTTTAATGATCGACACATGGGTAGCTTGCAGTTGAAAAATGCTTGTAAAGTTTGATGGTTTGACTCATTTTTGAAGACTTGCGAATATACCCATAGCCTGATGGAAACCACCGAGAAATAGTGGTCGGGTAAGCAAAAAAAGATAAAAATGCCAAGAACAAACCTAAAAACAACGAAAATGGTTGAGGACAGAGAGGATTGGCACAAATTGTAAATAACCACTCGAAATTCTAAGCTAAGCTAAGATTTTCTAGTTACGGAAATCCGTGACTTGGGTCTTTTTCGGACGTTTTTTTAATTGTCTCTGGACACTAGGACTGTAGGTAGGTTCAAATGATGTTTCGAACTTATTAGTATTAGTAAAAATGTTAGTAATAGAAA